AATATATAATTCTAATAGAATTTAATTTTAATTAACCGTGCTTGTTTGGATTATCCGACCCCTGTTTCTCCCAGTTGTTACAGATAATCAGCTTTCTATTGTACTCGTAAAAGAGAATTTAGAGTTAAGGCCCTCAACAAATATGTGTGCGTTCATGTGCAAGTTTATGGCTACCTGATCACGAAATTTGGGTTGACTTGAATAACAGAGGCTCATAAAGATCGCATTTGCGTTACTAAATACATAAATTTTCTAAGTTTCTAGAGGGCATATTCTGTGTTAGTCCGTATTTTATTTTGGGAAGGGGAGGTCTACATTCCTTGCACAGCTCATAAGTTTTGACCCTCATTAAGTCATGCATTATTTAATTCTCAGCTACGTTTAAGCATATCCAAATAAAAATTCTTGATCTTAAATAAATTTATATAAGATCGCCATATTATTTATTAATTCATTTTACGTCACCTTTTCATATCGATTTACAGCTGAAAACGAAATTTAGCCCTTCAAAGCTAAAACTATTCTTAATAATAGTTAAACTTTCGGTCCGTACCGCAAAGAGAACACAATCCGTAACCATTACAAAGATCATGTTAATTCTTTTTAAGGAAATAATTGCTGTTTACTGTGAGAATCGTATGCAACCGATAAATACACTAAGACTTTGTGGATAAAATGCAGAATTACTGATTGATATATCAGGTGGTGCATATAGTTACCATTTGTTTGTGAGAAATATTAGAGGAATCATCTACCGACTTACATTTGTAGATACAACGACGATTATCCAAGACTTACCGCTGTTTCAGGAACACTTTTATTACACCGTTAAAATTATGGCGGGACGATAAAAACACTTACCCGTGGGAAAAGCAAACAGGAGAGCCGCCAGGAACCGCCACATGTTTGTTGACAGCTAAGACACTAACTAACACGTGATAAGCACGGAAACGTCCATTAAGCTTAACGTCTGTTTAAACAAGAATCACTAGCGAAACGTCACAATACCGGAATTTTCATCCGACATACAGAGAGTTCACTTCTGGTATTGAGTTTCCTTTGCTGTCTCGTAACCATTATCCGTTCCCGAATATATGCAAATCTGTGGTCTCGTGATTTGCCACACTGTACGTTGAGTCGCCCGCGCGTCTCTGCCACCTTCGCAGACTGAGACTTGGTTTGCTCCTGTTCGGATGCTGTAACCAGCGAAAACAGCCAGCAACCAATCCCGTCCTCAAACAACCCCCCCTCAACGACGGCGGGGGTGATGAGGAAATTTCTCTCAGGGCTGTGTTCCAATGTCATATTCCCAATCTTGTTTGACCATGGTCTGTACCTTGAATTTTGCGCGTGTCATTAAGTGTGTTGTTAATGACCAAATTTTGACAAGGGATTAAAATGATGTCGAAACAAATAAGTTTAGTTCCACTCCAGAAATTCTCCGAGAAAGTTAGACTTTTCTAACGTATTGCCTTTTATTTTTTTCGAAATGGATATATTATTTTCTGAATTTAGTTCCAGTACATTAAGTAATCTATCACTGATGTAGAAGTAACGCTTTAGACTTGTATTCAGATGTACCAACTTTGAAGCTCGGCCGGGTTATGACCTGCATTTCCTATCTTTCCAGGCTAATTTTATAATAATAACTTGAAATAGACCACGGTCGCTTCCTTCCCACATTCTAGCCTATTCATGATTACCTTCTCGTCTTATCCAGTGCTCTGACATAGCATTATATTCAGCATGATACATTATTTCGTTGTTTCCACATTGCAAGTGGATTCCTACTTCTTTATTCTGCAGTCAGAGGTCAGGAAGGTCAAAAGACCGTAACTGAAGGCATTAGAAAAAGAGGTGTTTTAATGCTCTGCTCGTTTGTTGGCTTGTATCGCTAGGTGGTTTTAATGAATTCTTCTCAGGCGGTTCAAGGGCACCTTACAACCACCTGACCCAGCTTCAGATCATATGTAGATGTTTTTTATCACACTGTCAATATGAAGTTCTCCTTGTAAAGTAGAACTTCCACTTACTTGTATCAGTATCCTTGTGATTGCAGGTTCAGTACCTCAACGCTGAAGATGTTCTTATTCAGAACCTAACTCTTCACAACTCCATTACATTGAGTGATTTGAAACCTCACAGAAACTATACTTTTACTGTGGTGGTGCGCTCGGGTACTGAATCGCAGGTCCTTCGACGGTCACTGCCCGTTTCTGCCATATTTACGACAATGGAATCTGTTCCCGGCAAGGTAAGGAGATCTCATCACTGATCAGTAATAAATGTGAGACTTAAAACAAATTCAGAGTTTCTGCACAGTTTATTTGTAATGTTCGATTCCCGGCGGTGCCCGAATTTGTAACTTGTGTTGGGCCAGGCCGTGGTCTAGGCAACCCGGAGTTTTCCTCCGTGGCATCCCAACAATTACTCCATTCACACACAGAAGAAGGCAATGGCAAACCACTTCTGGATCATCTGCCAAGAACGTATATGAACAGGTCCCAGTCCGAGAAAAGGATGGAAGGATCCTGTTCATATGGACCTGTCGTCAGACAGAACACTGAATAATAAAATACATCGTAAATTAATTTATTGTCAGACCAGTCAGAATAGATCATATTCTCAGGTATAGGAGTTATAACAAAAATAACATCTTATTACAGTGGTTATCTTCTGGGTTGTAAAGCTCTGGTGATAAAGGCAACAAGGACCTCTGAAACGTCGGTAAACTTCTACAAGACTACATGGCGCTGTAACCCTAGAAGACAGCCATCTTCGGACACACCACCGTGAAAACCTCAGATCCTACTTAGGTATTAAATTTGATTAAAGTTAGTTAGTTAAAAACAAGAATAAACCTTTGAATGTTGTTTGAAATGTCGACTGAGCAGTAAGACAGCAAACAGTACACTTCAACTGCGCTCTGTGTTGGTAACTCAGTAAATTACTTTTACGGTTCACTATATAGCTGTACACAAATCGGAAAAAATTCCAGCTAGACGTGGATCTGTATAAAGTATTAGGCAAATCTACATTTCCGTATTAAATGGGTTTTTAATTATAATATCGGTTGTTACAACTTGAATTTAATGGCGCGTGAAGCTTATAGCAGCAAGGAGAATTTAGCCCATAGATTTTTAAACGCAGTTGACAAACACTTGTGTATTAGAGCCGAAAGCTTTACATCGCTAATGATATTGCCTGCCACTTTACAAGATTCAGAAGCAGTCCATTTCAAATCCTTAAAACCTGTTTCCGTAACAGGTAAGATCCATTATTCCTATTATCTGATATTAACTCACAATCCTTTTCATATTTCTAAGTGGCGAATTTCTAAAACGTTGATCTAACATTTGTTTGATTTGTGTTTTCTTACATTACATAGTGCAGCCGTGTATATTTTCTTGATTGAAGTGCTCTACCAGTATTGAATGACCTGTATAAATAATTAGTTTCTCACTTTGGTCCGCTTCTAATCCTTCTCAGATGCTTTAACCAGTGTAATAGACCATCGGTATTTGTTCGCGAACTCCCAGATATAATTTCTCTTCAACTTTGTACCCCCAAAGTTGTTGGTGTATAATTCAAGTTATACATAGTATATAAT